GGATTTTAAGACAGACCCACCTATAGGGGTCCTTTATCCTCGAGGTAAACCTGCTAGAGCCCTCCGTATCCACAATCCGGCCAACCTAGACTTCGATAACTTACGCCGAGTCCGAGAACAAGTATTTGCGAGCCGAAGCCACTATCGTTACCTACTTCTGCCCTTGTAGAGTTCACTCAAACCCCAGCACACACTTTACAAACAATCACTACCATTCCTGATCATCAACTGCACCCCAAACTCCCAATCCAGATGGCCTGGAGGGGACTAGTGGGTGTCTCCTGATATTTCAATTGAATCCTTTTTTTCTCGTATTACACGTGGCCTGGTTGGTATTAGTATTTGCCAAACATCTGGTCCTTGTCCGGTTTACTATTGGTGTCCGATTGTTGATGATCCTTTACGTAGTACCGTCAAAAGTTTGTGCTACCTCTCTACTCGGGTCTTGCCAAGTGGGCTTCTGTGTGCTCCGATCCCCTAGATTTACATGGTGCATCACTCATTTCGTGTGACTCATACATAACACTACTGTTCCGCAACCTCTCAGTATGAGCTGGTGTGACTAAGATTACAGGTGCCAACCTGTCAGATTACATACAGTTTACCGTAACACATTTCTTAAATTCGAATTTCATCATCAGTGGGATTCGAACTCTTGACCTGCCACTTGGGGGTATAACAACTTACCAACTACACTAAGTCACCACACCCTTAAATAATAGATTTTATCAGATAGATAATCATTAAAATAATAAGAAAAAAAATTACATCAGCATGTCAATTTTGTCAAATAAAGAAATTAAAATGTGATAAACAAAAACCTTGCAATAAATGTACAAAACATAAAATTGAATATACTGCATCTTTAAAAACAAAAAAATGAGAACCTCGTCCAAAACAAAAAAATAAATATTTAGAACTTAAAAATATTTTAAATTAGTTTTAAACAATCCTCGATTAATTAATAAAAATAATTAATATCAATTTGGATTACTAGATCAAAAGATATAAGCAAAAACTGTTAATTTTATATAAAATAATATAGCCAATAGTTTTTTGCCCATAACTTTTGATCCAGTAATTCAAATTGAATGAAATTGGTACCATTGGATTTCTCTTAGAGAGACGAATCCAATGGTATCAATTTCATCTGATTTTGACTACTAAATCACATGATAGCAATATTTTTATAAAAAAATATATTATTTTCATTTGATCCCTACTTTAGCAAAAAACATAAAAAAAGTTATTTTTGTAAAACTTCTTCTTCTTCTTGTATAACATTATTTATAGATGCTTCTAATAGATTTAAAGTACTCATTTCAATATAGAAACTCATACTTAAAGTACTCAACGAATTAAAATGCTGCTTAATAATTAAATAATATTTTTTTATTCGATTGGTAATGGATTCAAAGTACTTATTCAAATATAGAAACTTATACTCAAAGTACTTAACGAATTAAAATGCTGCTTAAATGATTAAATAATATTTTTTTATTTAATTGGTTAATTGGTAATGGATTCAAAGTACTCATTTAAATATAGAAACTCATACTCAAAGTATTTAACGAATTAAATGCTGCTTAATGATTAAATAATATTTTTTTATTCAATTGGTAATAGATTTAAAGTACTTATCCAAATATAGAAACTTATACTCAAAGTACTTAATGAATTAAAATGCTGCTTAATGATTAAATAATATTTTTTTTATTCGATTAGTTAATTGATAATGGATTCAAAGTATTCATCCAAATATAGAAACTCATACTCAAAATACTTAATAAATTAAAATGCTGCTTAATGATTAAATAATATTTTTTTATTTAATTGTCAAATAGTAATGGATTTAAAGTACTCATCCAAATATAAAAACTCATATTCAAAATATTCAACGAATTAAAATGCTGCTTAATAATTAAATAATATTTTTTTATTCGATTGGTAATAAATTCAAAGTACTCATTCAAATATAGAAACTTATACTCAAAGTACTTAACAAATTAAAATGCTGCTTAATGATTAAATAATATTTTTTTATTCAATTAGTTAATTGGTAATGGATTCAAAGTACTCATTCAAATATAGAAACTCATACTCAAAATACTCAACAAATTAAAATGCTGCTTAATGATTAAATAATATTTTTTTATTCGATTGTCGAATAGTAATAGATTTAAAGTACTCATCCAAATATAGAAACTCATATTCAAAATACTTAACAAATTAAAATGCTGCTTAATAATTAAATAATATTTTTTTATTCAATTGATAATGGATTCAAAGTACTCATTTAAATATAGAAACTCATACTCAAAGTACTTAATGAATTAAAATACTGCTTAATGATTAAATAATATTTTTTTATTTGATTGGTCGATTAGTAATGGTTTGAAATACTTATCTCAATTTAGAAACTCATATAAAAATACTCAACAAACCAGAAGTTTTCTACATTTAAATATTTATATATATTCAAATTATCAATTTAAAATATCTTAACAATGAAAAAAGTTAATTCATATAAAATTTGAAATTATTTTAATTCAGTTAATGGAGGTTTAGAATATAAAATTTGCAAATGAAGATATAAAAATCTTTTAGTAAATACTTTAAAAAAGCATTTTATTACAAAACATAATGATATTTGGCTTGAAATACGAGAAACAAAAGTAATTTTAGCAAGAAGTAATTAATAAAATTGTTATTATAAATATGATATGAATTTAAATTAATATATATAAAATTAATACAGCTCAATGAAAAAAGAAAAAACTATTCAAAATTAATAACACATTTTCCATTAATTTTTTTTTTTTTTTCCTTCGAAATGTTGCGAAAGGGTGGATTTTTATTAGGTATTTTAGTAGTACATTCTTGGTTAGCGAAAGTACATATAGCCACATGTGCAACTTTTGGTTGCCTAATTTAAGTAGTCCGCCCGAAGGTTCTACACTATGCTATATCTATAACCTAACTAGGAGATTACCTATTTAAGCCTTCTGACTTCCTGGTCTGCACCACCACCACAATCACACCAATCCATAACTTCATACTGCTTCTTATTAAAGACAACCCAGATCGACATCTGCTATACTACTTATACCCTAATTCTATAGATAACCTAGTAGGGTTCTCATACTACCAGGTTGCTCTAGAAAGGGTATAGTACATACCCCTCTAATCTTTCTATATCCCACGCATTTTCAGATTAGGCTACAAATACCTTTCGCAGCAGCCGAAACCACCACTAGCAGTTAGGGCAAACCATTAAACTGCACAATTCCAGTATTCGGTGCTCTTGCAAGGTTCGTTCCAATCCCGATACCCACATCAAGCCAGTCCTTATACCGATCTCTTCCCAACTACCAAACTAGTTAGCCCGGACAGGTCATTGTATTTCGGCTTTAAGTGCCTTCCAGTTTTACTTCTCTTGGTTCCTAATTCTGTAGTATAGGACCTTTTCCTCCAATACGACTCCAGCGCCAGGTTGGTGGACCCTTCTTGCCCCAGGGTTTTTCGTCCGATTCTTCGGTCTCCAGTTTCTAACTTTTCTGCAATATTGTCAAAGATCTTTACTACCTTCTTACTTGGGTCTTACCAAACGGGTTTTAATTATTCCAGTTTCTTGGATTTGAATCGCCCAAGAGCTTCCATTTCGAGATAGTAGTACCAAGATTACAGATAATATACCTAACCGATTGTTGAATAATTGTTACCAGAACATAGGCCTATTTTTCTAAAAACGTCTCTGGTAGGATTTGAACTCTAGACCTGCCGCTTGGGGGTGACAACTTAACCACTACTCTAAGTCACCACACTCTTCTATTAATTTTAAAATTCATATTTTCAATATTAAAATTAATAGTACTACTATTTGTTTCTAAAATAATTAAATTAATTTTTTGTTTCTTGTTGTTCTTTTCTTCTTCAATATTTTTTCTTTTTTCAATTTGAACAGGTTGTAAAGCTTGTTCTGTAGCAATTACTTTAATTGTTTCATCTTCAACTTCATCTTGTTGGTTTTCAATTTGTTTTTGTTGAAAATTATTATTATTTTCAATACTTATTTCTTTTTTATTAATAAAGTAACTGCATGAAACCTATCACTTATTTTTATTTTTTCTCTTTTAATAGCCAAATGATATTCATTGTTATAATGTTTTTCAAAATGATTTTTAAGATTTGTTAAATTAGTATCAATAGGATAATTTGCTTCATATTTATTACAAATAAGTCTTATTTTTAAAGTATTAATATGAAAATAGTTTTGAATTTCATGTAGAGTTCTCATTTTGTTTTTGATTTAATGGATATTCTTTAATAACAAATTTATATTCTTTTATCCATATATTAATAAATTAAAATTTTTCTATAAATCGAATTTGAAATAATTTTAAAATCGAAAAAGTTTTTCCTTTCTTAATATGGAAATTCCAAAAATGTAAAAAATTCTAAATTCAAAAAGATGAACCAATTAAATTTTAGTAATTATTACTAATTTAGTAATAAAAATTCTTTAAATATATTAAATTTTTTTATAATCAGTAAAATGTCTCAATATCGTAAATTATCAATTATTTCTGAAACTCCAGTATCTTTTAAAAACAAAATGTCTAATAAAAGAAAAATTGCTGAAACAGAACTTTTTCTTGAATTTCAAAAAGAAATAAAAAACTTAAACAAAAATTAAAAAAAATTCAAGAAAATAAATTTCAAGAAATAAAAAAGCTTAAACAAGAATTACAAGAGAATCAAGAAAAGCTTTTTTTTGAATCTCAAAGACTTCAAGAATTGAAAGAAATAGAAGATGAAATATGAGAAAAAAATACAAAGAAATTATTAATAGTCTACAAAAAGAAATAATTTGTAAAAATTATTGTATTAAAAATTTAACAGATCGTATTGCTTATTATAATGCATATTTTGGTAAAGCATATTTTGGTAAAGCATTTGAAATTTGCCAAAATTTATATGATCAAGAAAAATTATATTCTCAAATTAATGAGGTAATTAATGATTTTACAAATAAATCATATTTATTTTCTAATGTTGAAGAAGATACTGAAAAAATAAACAAACAAGAAGAATTTATTAATTAGAATTTAAATGGAAAACAATAAGACAGTAAAGGTTGGATTGATGAAGAGAAATTTTTTGATTATTAATTTATATTTTATTATTTTATTCATGTATTTATATATTTTATTAAATAAATAAAATTTTATATTAAACTAAACATCTAGTAAAATTTTAACTAATAGAATAATGAGGGCAATTTTTAAATCTATTAAAAAATGACTAATTTTTTTAATTCTCCTAGAAACCGGTATTGAAAATTTTAATATACTGATAAAGAAGAGTAATAACAACTACCAGGAAAAATTTTAGCTCATTTGAATTGGTATTGATAGAGAAATCTACATTTTTATTTTTTTCTATATAGAATTGATGAAAATAATGAAAAAACATCTAATTTTTTTATTTCTCTAGAAACTAATAGTGAAATTTGTATACTAATAGAGGTATATGACAACAACTACCAGGAAAAGTTTTAGCTCATTTGAATTGATGATAGTTAAGAAATTTGCATTTTTCGTTTTTCTCTATAGAAGTTGATAAAAATAAATAAAAAACATCTGATTTTTGTAATTCTCCTAGAAACTAATAGCGAAATTTAATATACTGATAAAGGTAAGTGATAACAACTACCAGAAAAAATTTCAGCTTGGTTGGTTTGGTATTGGCTGAGAAATTTACATTTTTCATTTTTTTCTATATAGAATTAATATAAATAACGAAAAAACGTCTGATTTTTTTAATTCTCCTAGAAACCAGTCTTGAAATTTAACATGCTGATAAAGATGAGTAACAATAACTACCAGAAAAAATTTCAGCTTAATTGATTTGGTATTGATGAAAAAATTTACATTTTTTATTTTTCTTTATATATATCTTTGAACCTTCTATTTGTAAATCATAGTTGTAAAATTGCTGTCACTTGAGAAATTACGTTTTACAGAAAATTTTATTATGATAATCAACTTTATATTGATAACAAAAGTTGTAGAACTCATCAAAAAAAATTGTAGTTTCATAAAACCACTTTTATTATTTCATTAAGTTATCATTGATTTTATGTTTTACAAATTTTTTTTTTAATTTAATATATTATCGCATTTCTATTAGTGATCATTATGTGATCAACACATAGATCACCAATTGTTTATTTATTCGATTGTTTTGATTTTTACTTTTTTCTCTAGGTGTTTGTTTTTCTTACACCATAGGGCATATTGTTACAAAACAGTTCTGGATTCTATATAAAAAATAAAACCACATATAGCTGTTGACAAGTTGATTATTAGTACTATTATCCTCTAGTTATATCTTAGGATATTCTAAGTCTTAGTGGCTAGTAATCCTTGTACAGGACAAGCATTTGCTACACCTACCCATACAAACTGGTCAATAGGTAAATTCTCCTCTATAATACCCGAACCCTATTACACCTTATAGTGCTTTGGCCTTATAGTGCCTTGGAGGCTATTGTCTTATTATTTCATATAGGTGAGAATTGTTTTGATATGGGTTGGTGCTTACAAATATATCCCTTACCAAAATCTCTTGATATGTAGCTGCCAAGTGGTGAGATTTGGTAACTTACATTTTTTTGTAAGGCTAATAACATATCATTTAAAATATTTAAAAAATTTTTTTATAATTATTATAAAATTAAATTTTTATTAAAATAAAGGAAAAATTTTAGTTAAATTGGTCTGGTATTGAT